TTACTATATAACAAAGATAATTTTTTAAATGCAAATTATACTGAAAATGACTCAAAACAGAGACAGCTTTCTATCCTTCATAATTGATAATGCCTTGATAATGCATGTTAATTTGTATTTTTTTCCCCCTGCTTTCCTATTGTGCTTTTATTATTTAAATTTTTTTTTTGGTGGTCTTATTTATGTTTCTTTTGTGTGCGGTCAGAGTGTGTCCTTTATGCCGGTGCAGGTTGGACCTAATGTGATGATGCATGATGCTTTATTAAATAAATCAATGTAAATAAATCATATTCCATGATAGCTGTGCATTTTTTTTTTTTCAGAGATTTTTTTTTTTTTTTTTACCCATTGTTCCCTTTAATATTTAATGTTATTAAGTATGCTTGTTTGATTTGCCACTGGCACCTACATTTCCCCATCCTGTTCTATTTTGTTCCATTCTATTCTATTCTATTCTTGAGCTATAGATAGTTTTTCATGTTTAAACCCCTAATTCTAATTTATTTATTGTTATTGCGAGTGATACAACACAGATGGGTGCATAATTGGGGTGAAAGGAAACTGATGCATAGATCTGAATTAATTCACAAAAAGCTAAAAATAATGTAAAGGGGTATTTACTTATTCCCTCTAAATCAATATTTTGTGAAACTACATTTCACTAAAGACAGCTGCAGATCTTTAATATCTAAAGCAGCTTTTACCATCTGGAGTACAAAATCTGTTAAATGGTGAGATTAGCTTTAATTTACAGTACAGTCAATGAGGTAAATACAAAGTCATGTTACATTGTTTTTGTTACATAACTATGCATGATTTTTGTACGGATATAATCTTTTGATATGTGGTGGTCATATTTCACCTGATAGGTTTGTTAGTTTGACACCAGAAGGTTGCTTTAACCTTTCAGACTGGTCACTGTGATCCTGTTTGCACTGTTTTCTCTGGGTAAGCCTCCCTGTATGTTCAGAGTGCACAGACACAATTCCAGCTTCTGCACCTGCACAGTGGTCAGACATAAACATGAAACAAAGCTTGGTGTAGATATGTACTATGTGAACTAAACTGAAAGAAAAAAGAGCTTCAGGACATAATAGAAATACAAATGATTGTTAAAACAAATCAATAGTTTCAGTTTTCCACCTGATCACCCATGAAGCTGCTCTAATAGCACACCTTCTGTCAGGTGTTTTATTGTGCTTGTCTACTTCATTTATAAAATGGAAAGATAAAATGGATCAGACTTTGAACCAGAGCAAAGCTGTGTTTGAACAAGACAGTGCCCTGTATGCAAACTTAAAATGAAATGATAAACTTTTTCCTTTATATCCCCAAAAATCTGACTTTATAATCCAGCTTTTGTCTTAGAGCTGAATGAAAATAAACAAATACATAAAATAAAAAGACTTGAAGGATGCATGTGGAGTGATTATTTCCCAATATTAAATAAATCAAGTGCACCTTTAACTAATGTAATTACGAGGGCTTCAACAAGCTAATTAATGTGTGGAATCTTGGAGAAACAGCGCCCTCTGCGGGAGAGCTAGAGATAAAGCATGATGATGTTCCCGTTCATTCCGATTTTATTTACTATGGATCATCGTTATGATCACTTTATGTTTATAGCCAATTTCTTTACATTACAAGTGGGATACTAATTTTCCTATTTAAATGTCTAAAATAATATTTTCTAGGTAATGTGTAACTGTTCAGCTTCTTTCAGTATGCAGGAGATGATCTTCTAATGTTTCATTTAACATATAATTTTTTTCAAAAGGGTTCTTTGAGATTCATTAAATGTTCCTGCCAAGGACTAAGGCGTGAATTATTAGCAGAAAATAGATGCTACTAAAAGTGTTATCAAAAGTCAGCAATAATAGCCTATATTAAGTCAAAGCATATGTTTTTAATGAAATCTAGGATATGTAAACAGTTTTTGAAGAGGTTTGTACTTATTTTGGAAATTAATGCTTTATGACCTTCTAATAAAAAACGAAAAAGATGAAGAACAACAGCAACAACAAAAACCCAACAAAAGTACATTATTATTATTATTATTATTTTTTTTTTTTACAAATACAGTAATCATTAAACCTTTTTTTTTTTTACATTTATTATGTTATTGACCTTTCCTCAACCAAGTAACAATAAATAAAAAGTGTAAAATGAAAAATTGAATTAAACTCCTTTCTTAAAGTATAATTTCCTTTGATCTGAGAGTGATAACCGAACTGTAAAATAGTGGGACTCTTACCCCAGACAACTTAGAGATTCAAGGTGTTTAAACAAAGCAGGTTGAGAGCAGCAAAATATCAGCATCTCTGTTGACAGCTGGGCTGAGCTGATGGAGCTCAGAGACATGGCATTCCAAATGAAGGTGGACCTGTTACATTACCTGAGCAAGAGAGAGAAGCTGGAGCGGGAAATATCAGCTAAAAGATACTAAAGTTATTATCCAGCGTTTCGGAAATGCAGATTATTTATAGCAAAGCAAGAAAAAAATGTCCAATATTAATAATTACTATTTGCTAAAAAAGAAAAATAGGAATTAAAAATATTTTCTGTCTGCATTATATGCAGAGTAGTTTTCTTACCTCAATCACAACATGCAAATCTTTGGAAACAAATTGCAAATAAGTAAGTATTGATGCTCTACATTCAGGAAAGCAAAATGTATCAGGCTTATCTAAATTACAGGTTGCTGGAAATAAACAACTATTGTTGTAAAATCTTTATGGGGTCTTTATCTGTGTTTTGGTCCCTGTTTTAATGTCCATGCTCTGCTCTCCTCCAAACTAATTATTTTGCTAAATAATCAACTCACCATGCTGCCTCCTAGTGTCTGTTTGTACTTTGGTCCCGAATATCAATCAGCCAGAGTCTGTACCAAATCAAATTTCCTTTGGGACAATAAAGTTAATCTATTGTTAAGATACTGGACAAGATTAAGCCTGAGCTCGATCCATGCAAAAAGACAAAAACTGTAAACATGTCTTCAGGTGGATGAGGCCTACCTCAATGTAACAGTTTTTTTCTGCAGAACCTCTGGTTCAAAATTACAGCAGCACTTTGAAACACTGATAAAGAAACCAAATGTTATTTTGAGCTTGAATGATGAAATATAAAATCAATACCGGTACATAATTATGAACCATTTTACAAGAAATGCCTGAATGAAATAAACTTTAAAAATCTGTCACTCTTAGAAAAAACAATGGAGTATGAAGTTCCACACAAATAGCAAGATATTTAAAAGAGTTTTCCTGTTTTTTACCTGACACAAAAATGATTCAGGTATCAATTTGGCTCCTAGAAACATTAAATTCATAAAGCCCAATTAATTAAAAATACTGTATATTAAAAAAAAACATTTTAAGTACTGCAATTAGAAATTTCAAAATTATAAATGAATATGTACCACTCAGAACATTATTATTAGAAACTATTAGAAACTACTATTAGAAATTACTATTAGAAATTATTAGAAACTATTATTATTATTAGAATCATTAACTGGTTTAAATGAAGATTGTAAACATCTACATGTTATACCATGTTGATTTTCCATTTAGGTTTAAATGAACAAATGTTAATTTTCATAAGTCACTTAAATTATTGTTTGATTTATTGACTATTCGTCAAGACTATTAGTGAATAAATGATAAAGTTATGCTTTTTTGATCTGGGAACATTTTTGAAGGCAATCATTAAATCTGGACCCAGTTAATCTTTAGTTGTTCAGTTCTCCTCTAAGTTGCATCTGTATTTTTTTACTTCACTTGAAATCTTGAACATTGAAAGATAACATATTAAAGTATGTAAGTTATGGAGAACAAAAAAGGGTTGAGCTATATATACTTGAGAGGATATTTTCCTGTCCTTACATTTATTTAGCTAACTATCTCTCACTTTTTCCTTTTAGGTTATTTCAGAAAATAAAAAAAGTATTTTTTTAATTTAGCCTGATCAATAAAAATCTAATTTCCACAGAATATTTATTTTGTCTTTGTTTTCCGGTAGGATGCCTTCCTGATCCACTGGAAAAGCCTGGACCTTCTTCCCCCCCTGGAAGGAATTATTTGAGTCACATTGAGCAAAGGGAAACCTCCAACAGATCTGTTCAAGTCTGCTTCAGGAAAACCCGGTGACAGTCCGCTCCATTGCTCCTCTGGACCCAACACTAGTCTGCCTGTCCGCCCTCCAACGAGTTCATTCATCTCTGGATAAAACCCCACTAACTGGATCCTAAGGTAAAACAAGAGCCCCCCCAAACGTGTGTCCCATTCCTGCATATTACAAGTCTCAGTCATATGTCCTACGAGCCTTGAACTGATCATTTTGATCTCTCCTTCAGAGTTTCAAGTTCCGGTTCACCAGTCTGCTGAGGTTTAACTGAGTTTACCTTGCTGTATAACCTCTCACTCTGTTTTTGTCAACCTACAAATAAACCAGTTAACTTTAACCCTTGGTTTTCTGAGTGTGTCTCTGCATGTGGGTTAGAACCTTAAAGCCCATCATGACAGTTATCCCTGAGTCATTTTATCATGTAAATGGGGGAAAAGAGAAAAAGATCTGCATGAAGACTCAGCCCCCAAAAATCAGCATATCTAGGATCAGTTAGACCAATGTCAAAATAATTGGTATAATAATCAGCCTCTAAAAAACTGCATCCGTCGCTTTTGTTGTACATTTATTTCTTCAGTGGTACATTCAAGTTTATCTATTTCATTAAATACTGTGGTCCTCCAACATGTACCTCAGAGATCACATCACGATGATTGTGAAGAACCCCTGGTCTATAAGAGCTTTAGTTGTGTTTTTTTTTTTTTTGTAAATTGGTCAGAACTAGTCCTGGGCAATTTACTCTCTCATATTGTTCTCTGTCCTACTTTACAGGAACCAACAAAAACAAAGCAATAAAATAGAAGGACACGCCTATTTATTACTCACACAGTGACCTGCTTTCTGCCTGTATAAAGAGCAAACGTGAGCCAATCTTTCAAGATTTCATTATAAACTACTTACAAAGCAGAGGTGTCAGGATGAGGAGGTCTGATGTTTTTCAAATTTTTCTACTTTGTCTGTCTTTGACTCACAGTGAGGCTGAAATGGTGATAGAGAATGCTATTGCTCTAGACCAAGACTCCCACTTAGAGATTCAAGATGTTAAAACAAACCACGTTGAGAGCAGCAGAGAGATCAGCATCTCTGTGGACATCTGGGCTGAGCTGAAGGAGCTCAGAGACATGACCATTCAACTAAAGGCAGACCTGGTACATTACCTGAGCAAGATAGAGAAGGTGGAGCAGGAAAAATCAGGTAAAAGATGCTAACGCAGTTTTCCGCATGTTTGAAATGCAGACTTTTTATTACAATGCAATAAAAATAAAAAAATATTAAGATTTAGGTACAAAAGATCATCATAATTTAGTTTTTCATGTTCTATGATTAATATCTCTGCAGCCCTTGAGGTCAGAATAAGCTCAACTGAGATGGAGATAAAGGAAATCAAGATGCAAAATGCAGGTACTGATGACAAAGGAACAAATATGAGAACCTACAAATCAATAAACAGAGAATTAAGCTAAATTTGTGAAAAATCACGCATATTGATTAGACATGTACGATTGTTGTAAATAGGTTGAAATGATTTGTTCCCAGCTAAATAAAAAAAGCAACTTCTCTGCCCAGAGCTGCAAACCTCAGATGTCAGATGTATCCTGTCTAATGTTTCCATTTTTTCACAGATCGACCAAAGGTGGCGTTCTCACTCGGCCTTACAAACGCAGGACGCCTCGGTCCTTATAGCACTGATGTCACTCTGAAGTTCAGTAAAGTTTTCAGTAACTTTGGTCAAGGCTACAACCCAAACACAGGTGATAATGCCCCCCCCCCCCCCTTTTTTTTCTTTTTCTTTTTGTAAGTGGCAGTTTTGGCATGGAGGGGTTGAGAGGGAGTGCAGAAATTCCTCCCTTCTGTTGTCTACACATGCAAAAAAGCGCTACAATACTTGCAGCATTTTTCACTCACAGTTAAAATATGGCCATCTGTTGCTTGCTACTACATTGTTTTTGCCATATTGAGCAACAATGTCCACATTAAATCTTCTGCTGTTCCCAGAGTACACACTGCTGGTAACTTTTCATCTATTTTTCTTTTTTTTAAATTCTAGGTATCTTCACATCCCCAGTAAGAGGAGTATACTATTTCAGATTTACTTTCTTTGAGGTCGACAATGCTAACTGGATGGGGGTTCGACTGTATCATAACAGCAAGTTGATTATGATTAATTATGACCGAAGCAGCAGCTACTATGAAAACATGTCTAATGGAGTGATACTTCAGCTGAACATAGATGATGTGGTTTACATGGTTCTGGTGTCACCCTACACTGTATTTGATGACCATAGAAATTACAGCACCTTCACTGGATTTCTGCTTTTCCCCTTGTAAGAATACTCAGAAGATACAACATGCTACATTTAATTTAAAACATTTACTTTGGGAGCACCAGTATTCATGGGACATTAACTTTAATGTGACTATGAAAATCTATAGATCTCAAGTGCTGCTAATGCTGAAAATTCTCAGTCTTTCCACATAATGTGAAAATATTTTTCTTTCTGTATTATATGCAGGGTAGCCTTCATGCATCAACCATAACTTGCAAATCTTCTTAAACAGATTCTAAATGGCTTAAATTTTTTCCCCCCAACATTTTATGGTTAAAGTAACACAATGAAGACTGACAACAAGCTGAAGACTTAGAGAGCCCTCAGTTTGTTGTCAGGTTCTTTTTGTTGGCTCCATTTTCAATGTTTATACTATGTTCTTCTGTAAACAAATAATTTTATTAAATCATCAACTCACCATCCTGCTACCTGGTGTCTTGCTCCCGAACATTAATCCTGGACAACAATTACCTTTTGACTTTATACAATGATTAACTAAATGAATAGCATAGAAGAAATGTAAACCTCTAAGATTTTTATTGTTTTTATTTAAAACATTTGTGGTTCCAAATCTATAATACTTTAATGAATAGCTGGTACACTTTCGTTACTGGACAAGATAAAATCTGAGCTGAATCCATATAAAACAGACAAAAACTGTATGCATGTCTGCTGGTGGCTTTGGCATATCAATTTAGCATGTTTTCGTACAAAACCCCTACATCAAAATGACTGCAGCACATTGAAATATTGATAAAGAAACCCATGGTTACTTTGAGCTTGAATTATGAAATACAAAATCACTCTTTAATCATGGACAAACTATAAAAAAAAATGTCTTAATGAAAAAAACCTGCCAAAAAAAAAAAAAAAATAACAAAATAAAATCTGCCAATTTCTTCCATCCTTTCACAAAAACATTGGAATATCATGTTATATAGAAATATAACATATATAGAAAGTATTCCCTGTTTTTACCTGACTCAAAATTTTATCATAAATCTGTTTTCTTTGGCTAGAAATATACGAGTTATATATACAGTATATATATATATATATATATATATTATATATAATCTGTAAAGATTTAGCCCTGATTATTATAGTGTTGTATTTTAGGCTAAATAAACAAGTAAAAAGTAAAAGGAAAAACATGCAGTTTTCTATAAAAAATTACATTAGCTTCTGGAAATATAGTCATACAAAATTGTTATGACAGCCATTTCATTTTTATATAATGACAACTACAACTTTAGGTACTTTCTAAAAAGAACAAAATAAGTGTAAAATTTGGGCTGAATGTGTCATGACTGGTTTTATATCAAACCCACATGCAGAACACAACGGAGGCTGGGTAAAAGTTTAACAGAGTTTATTTAAGATGTTGACACACAAAAACATGAACTGGATCTGGAACAGGTCCGGGTTGGGTTCACTGAAGTCTGCAGAGATGATAGTTTGATTAGCTGGGCAGGCAGATGATTAATGAGTCCTTTTAGATAATTCTGATTCTACCTTGACGGAGTCCAGGCTTCTCTTGTGAGAGAGGGAACCGTTGGGTCCAGAGGCTGTTGATTCAGCAGAGTACACAAGCAGCTGCAGCGTCTAGCTTCTGACTTTGAATGGCAGACCTTGATCAGAGTTTCCAGCTCTTCACAGAGAGCAGCAGGGGAAATCCAAATAGGAATCTTGGGGTTTGGCTCACCAGGGCTGGAAGGCAGGTTAAGCTCACCCAGAGCTTCAGACTTGAGACAGGTTTCCTGTGAGCAAAGACAGAGGCAGGTTAGAACCAGTTTTCTCACTTAGAGATAACTTAGATTCTTTCAGGTAACAGAGGCTCAGGTTGCTAACCAAACTAAGGTCAACACTGCGGCGTTGAAGGAAGGTCTGGCAGCTGCTTATGAAGGGAAGGTCTCCTGATGAGTAGATGCGTTTCAAGTGTGCTGGAGGGCTCCAGCCCAGGAGACCCATGGCGCACTCTGCTGGAGAAAGGTGGTACATCCCCAGATCCCAACAGAATGTTTATGATGTGATGATTCTGAGGACGACAATTCTTCATAAGGTTGTAGGGTCACATCATCAAATGAAATAAAAAGTCTCCTGGCTGTAAGGTAAAGCAGTTCTAAGTCTGTTGTGTCAGAGTTTGCATGATCTCCCCAAACAATTAGGGCCTCTGTCTGATCAAAAGCATTATGGTTATGTTAATTCGTTTCTCTAAAATTTCCCTCTAGCCATTAGTGTTTCTAATGAACCCACCCTTGAACCCATGCCTCTACCCAGGAAGAGGGCTGCACAGGATACAAGTAGAATGTTGTCTATGATTATTATCTTATTTAAGATTGGTAGAAATTAGTTTTCTGGAAAAGTTTGCACTCCAAGCTCCACCAGGAACATTCTCTGGTAAGTTTGAAGCATGGTAATAGAGCTCAAGGCAAATGCATACATTGCTTACTCTTTGTAAATTTTCTCAAGCTGAACAACTGAAAAGCTACAATATTTTGATGGAAGGGACACAGAGTCACCCACCCGATGGTTGAGCGATGGGGCTAGATATGATGCCAGGGATGGCTCCATAGGTGTAATGTTTACCACCCCAGCCCTCCTTGGTCAGATACCGATGTTGCATGTCGGCAAAGAAAGAAGAAGGACATCCAGATAAGCTGGCTCAGCAACTTGTGTTTAATTAATAGATTTGAATGTCATTTCACTGCTATTACCACATGCATCTTCTTTAAACTCACCACTGTTCTTAGTCTTAAGATCCTCAATGTCATGTTCGGATTAAGGTGTCTAACCCACATGCAGAACACTCGGAGGCAGAAGAAAAGTTCAAAGATTTATTTACAATAAATGTACAAAATTTGATCAGATCCAGGAGGGGACTTGACTGATCACGAGTGGGTTCACTGCTGAGGAGGACAGAGAGATTAGTGGAGGTCCGGGTGTTTTGCAGGTTGAGAGTGTTCAGGTCAGTACCTGTTCAGGAGTGGAGCAGAGCAGCAGAGGGGGGGGACCTTGAGGGTCCAGAGGTTGTCGGCAAGCTGAGGGCGGAGGCAGAGCTTACAGAGTGCAGGCAGATCACAGATTGAGTTTCCTTCCAGTAATCTTCTGACAGCGGGCAGGCAGTTACTTGACTGAGGCTGCTCTCCAGAGTTCTACTGAGAACGAGCAGACAGATCACCGGTAGAGAAACTCTCCAGAGTTTCAGGTATTCAGGCAGGATCAACCTGGGAAGCAGAGAGGAGAAAACGGGATCAGGTTTGGTTCACAAAAGTCAGAGATCACGGACAGGCAGGTTGGCTCAGGCTTGCTAACCATTACTGGCAAACACTCTGGCACTGGAGTGAAGCCCTCCGCCTCCTTAAGTACAGATCTCCTGATGAGCAGATGGGAGACAGGTGGTGTGGTCGGCTCAGGCTCCAGGATATCTCGTTGCCCTCTGGTGGAGAAAGTGGACAAACCTCCAGATCCCAACACTCAACTTTACTCTTACTGATGTTCTGTTCGTTCTCTAAATCTGAAAACAAAGTTGGTATTTTACAAACAGAAAGTTAATAATAGAGCACATCAAGCTTACCATACATCAAATGCATTGAATAATCCTCTGATTGGCATGCATTTGTTCAAGCCTCCAGTAGGGATTTGCTGAAGTCTTTTCTGGACTTCAACACTTCAAGTTTTCTTTTAAAAAACATAAATGGTAAATCAAAGTACAAGAGAAATTAAATATTAAAGTAAAAATGTCAACATCCTAAGTTTTTTCATACTGCATATGGGCGCTGTCTTGAAATAAGTTTGTGTTGTTATAAAAATGCTGGCAAACAGTCTGTGAATTACCTAAACTCTTCTGCTTGCAGGCTCTCTATTTGAAATTTCATTCCAATGGTCAGGTCTCTCAGTTCCTTCAGCTCAGCCGAAACATCAAGGCAATTCTCAGTCTGCCTGCTGTCTTCATCATTGTTCGTTTTGACATCCTGAGTCTCCAACTGAAGGTGTTCCGCCACTAATGGTGCTCTGCCTTTTTTTTATTCCTTCATGCTCACCCTGAGCCCAACTCAACCACTGGCAGAGCAGCAATGTCAGAAGAATTGCTGCATTTCTCATTGTGAAATATCTCCTGTTGCTGCAATGCAATCTTTGAGAGCCTTTTCAGCTTCATAGAGTACATAGAGTACTTAAGGCAAGAAAGTACTTGGGAATCAAACAGGTGCGTTCGGTCTTTTAATATTTATTCTTGATAACATCAGTCAAGGATAGAAAGCAGGGAAGCATAGATTAAAATGCTGAATGTCCTTCGCAAGTTTATAGGGCGACTGCGCTGCAAGCTGAGCAACATATATAAGAAATAAAATAAATATAATGATAGAAAATAATAAAAAAATAAAACGGGATTTTATCCCTGTAATGTTATTCCTTTGCTGATGTTCAAAACTCTTCTCATGCATAACACATCACAGAGAATAAGACCATTCATAGATGTACAGTCACTTCTAGTAGATGTTTTGCAGCTAATATTTTCATAAAGTAGATTGCAAATACAAACATGACTTTTAAGTCAACAAATACAGAAGTAATGAGAAAAAATATAATTAAAACACCGATTAATTAATCTTACTCTATATGGTTTATGAAATGTACTTTTGTAACTTACAATAATAAATCTTGCAGTCTGCACAATACAACTAGCCCTGGCTACGTAGAACATGGAGCCGTTTGTTCTTGTTGTGATCTATCCAATAACTGTACTGTTCCAAAGACCCATGCATAAAACTTTTGTGAAGTGTTAGCAAAATGTTTTAGTGAAGAGAACCAGTTTAACAGGTTTATTGAGAAGAGAGTACAGGTGTTCAATAAGGAACTCAGAGAACTGGTGAACCGGAACTGGAAAGTCTGGAGAGGAGATCACCATGATCAGTTCGGGGGCTATGGTACTGTGGAAGCGGGACTCACGTTTGAGGGGGTTCTTGTTTTTCCTTGATTCAGTTCGTGTGGGTTTATCCAAGGAAGAGGGAACTCATTGGAGAGCGGACAGGCAGACATTCGTTGGACCTTGAGGAGCAATGGAGCGGACTGTCACTTGGATTTCCGAAAGGGACTTGAACGGCTCGTGTGGGTGTTTTCCCCTGCTCATTGTGAACTCAGTTAATCTTCAGGGGGAGAAGGCCCAACCTCCGGTTACACAGGAAGGCTTCCTGCCGAAAAAGCAAAGACAAAAACGAAGTTAGACTTAGAAAAACTTAGGCTCAGATTAGACTCAGCTAAACTCAGTCGAGGTAGTGACAGTCCACCGCTCAAATAGTGATGAACCAACGAAGGAGAAAAAAACACACAAACAACCCACAGAAACTGGATTCCTAACAATATATATATATATATATATATATATATATATATATATATATATATAT